AGTTTTCTTTCTTTGAAGTGTCTTTTTCTGGTTTCGGGATCAGGGTGATGTTGGCCTCATAGAGTGAATTTGGAAGAGCTCCTTCTTTTTCTATTTCTTGAAATAGCTTGAAAAGTATTGGTATTAATTCTTCTTTGAAGGTTTTGTAAAACTCCGCTGTATACCTATCCGGTCCAGGGCTTTTCTTGGTTGGTAGTCTTTTGATGGCTTCTTCTATGTCTTCCTTTGTTATTAGTCTCTTTAAATTGTGTGTGTCTTCCTGAGTCAATCTTGGCAGATCGTATGACTTAAGAAATTTATCCATGTCTTCACTATCTTCTATTTTATTGGAATATAGGGTTTCAAAATACTTTCTAATTATCTTCTGTATTTCTGTAGTGTCTGTTGTGATATTGCCTTTTTCATCCCGTATGTTAGTAATTTGAGTTCTCTCTCTTCTTCTCTTCGTTAGTATGGCTAAGGGCCTGTCGATCTTATTTATTTTTTCAAAGAACCAACTTTTAGTTTTATCAATTTTTTAAATGTTTTTTTTCTTTCAATTTCATTGATTTCTGCTCTAATTTTAATTATTTCTTGTCTTCTACTACATTTGCTGTTGTTTGGCTCTTCCTTTTCTAGGGTTTTGAGGTGTAGTGTGAGTTCATTTATTTGTTGTTTCTTTCTTTTTTTGAGGAAAGAACTCCAGGAAATGAATTTCCCTCTTAAAACTGCTTTCATTGTGTCCCATAGATTCTGGTATGTTGTGTCTGTATTGTCATTTGTCTCTAAGAATTTTTTTTATCTCCTCCTTTATGTCTTCTGTAACCCATTGATCATTCAGTAACATATTGTTCATTTTCCATGTGTTGTAGGATTTTTCCTTCCTTCTTTTATCATTAATTTCCAGTTTCAGTCCATTATGATCAGATATGGTGCATGGTATTATCTCCACACCTTTATATTTACTGAGAATTGCCCTATGGCATAATATATGGTCTATCTTTGAGTAGAATCCCTGTGCTGCTGAGAAGAACGTGTATCCACTTGATGATGGTTGATATATTCTATGTATGTTGGTTAAGTCTAGGTTATTGATTGTGCTATTGAGTTCTATAGTTTCTTTGTTCAGCTTTTATCTAGAGGATCTGTCTAATGGAGAGAGCGGTGTGTTGAAGTCACCCATAATTATTGTGTTGTGGTCTATTTGACTCTTGAACTTGAAGAGAGTTTGTTTTATGAACTTTGCAGCATCATTGTTTGGTGCATACAAATTGATAATTGTTATGTCTTATTCGTGGATGGTTCCTTTTAACAGTATATAGTGTCCTTCTTTATCTTTCTTAATTAACTTAGGTTTGAAGTTGATTTTATTTGATATGAGTATGGGCACTCCTGCTTGCTTCCGAGGGCCATGTGAGTGGTATGATTTTTCCCAACCTTTCACCTTCAGCCTGTATATGTCTTTTCCTATCATATGAGTCTCCTGAAGGCAGCATATTGTTGGATTTGCTTTTTTTTTAATCCAGGTTACTAGCCTATGTCTCTTGATTGGTGCATTTAGGCCATTAACATTTAAGGTTACAATTGAAATATGATTTGTCCTTCCAGTCATGTTTATTTATTTATTTATTTTAGTTTGGCTAGTTTTTCCTCTTTGGTTATTTTCTTCCCCCTTTACTGAGATACCTCCCACTGTTAGTTTTGGGCACTACTTTTCAATTCCTCTTCTTGTAGTATTTTGCTCAAAATGCTTTGCAGTGCTTCTGGCTGCGAATTCTTTTAGCTTTTGTTTGTTGTGAAATATTTTAATTTCATTATCAAATCTGAAGCTTAATTTTGCTGGATACAGTATTCTTGGTTGGAATCCATTATTTTTCAGCATTTGAAATACATTGTTTCAGGATCTTCTTGCTTTCAAAGTCTATGATGAAAAAATCAGTCATTAACCTAATTGGTTTACCCCTGAATGTAATCTGCCTCCTTTTTCTCGTAGCTTTTAATATTCTCTCCTTGTTCTGTATGTTGGCTATCTTCATAATTATATGTCTTGGAGTTGGTCTATTATGGTTTTGAATGTTTGGGGTCCTGTAGGCTTCCAGGATTTGTCAATCCATTCCATCTTTCATCTCTGGGAAGTTTTCTAGAATTATTTCATTTAATAGGTTGTCCATTCCTTTCGTTTGAACCTCTATACCTTCTTCTATCCCGATGACTCTCAAGTTTGGTTTTTTTATGACATCCCATATCTCTTGAATAGATTGCTCGTGCGAGTTAAGCATCCTTCCTGTGTTGACTATATTCTTTTCAAGTTGATAAACTTTGTCTTCATTATCTGATGTTCTGACTTCTACTTGATCTAGTCTATTTGTAATATTCTCGTTTGAGTTTTTAATTTGGTTTATAGTTTCCTGCATTTCTAGGATTACTGTTTGATTTTTTTTTAATCTCTAACTCCTGGTAGAGCTTGTTCTTTGTCATTTGAATTTGTTTAATTCATTTTCAAAATATACTTTCATTGCTTGGACTTGCTGTCTCATGTCTTCTCTAATATTCCGTTCCATCTGAGTTAGGTATACCTTGAGTTCTTTCCCTATCCATGTTTCTGATGCTTCTAGGTCCTCTTGTAGATTTAAGTTGTCCTGCACTGTTTGTAATCCTTTTTTCCCTTGTTTTTTCATATTGTTCATGTTACTTTCTAGCTCTGTTTGATTGCTGTGTTTCTGCTCTCTCCTATAAAATTTGTTTTGGTTTTTTATATCTCTGTTGTCTCTCCTTTGTGGTGGTAGACTATGCCCGCTAAAGTGGATTCCGCTGGGAAAGAATTCTGTTGGCCGAACTCCGGTGACGTCACCTCTCTGCTATGGCGGGTCCCAGGCTCCTTGCCAGGGCGTCCGAAGAGAGGGGTGGGACTGGTCTGTCTCTGGTTGGTTTCAGCTCCCTACATTAGAATTTTCAAGAAGTACCTTATGTTTTGAGATTGTCCATTATTTGGATATAGTCATGCTGCCAATGAGATGTACTAAAGTTTATTATATGTACTTATGTATACTAAATATTTATGCATTCTATATATTTATGCATGTATACTTACATGCATGTGTTTCTTACAGGTACTCAGTCTATTGAATGGGTTAAGCTCTAGAGGGTCTGAATAAGCGATGGCCATGTTTTTCTCCAGTCATTGCCATTAAACATCTTCAATTGACTTGTCTTCCCTTGGGGAACGTTTGATGAATCCATAGATTTTTAGTTACTATATTCCATGTCATTAGACCCAAAATGCATAAACATGTATTTTACCATAGACAGCTAAAGCATTGGTGATGAATACTTTAGGAAAATCCATTATCAGATCTTTAAGAAATCATCAGTCTAAAACAAAACTTCAGTCTCACAAGTCACTTCAATGCCCTTTCCCTCCCTTGCCCACAGCTCAGGCCTGACCTTTGTCTTGAATATGTGCAGCAATGTAGAGCACATTACCTGTTCCTTCAGTTCTTCCCCTTGTATTTCCAAATCTTTTCTCCACTCCTGTTGCCGATTTGATCATTGATGAGGGCTGAGGGTAAAAAGAATGATAGAAGAAAGTTTCATGTAACTAGCAGTTAAACCTATATAATTTCTTACTCCTAGGATCCTACTCAGGCAGGCAGCCCTCCCACTTGATATGCTTCCAAGATGTCTCATATTTGGCTATGTTCTATACCATCTATTGGTCCACTAAGAACTCGTGCATTCTTGCCTTGTTAAACTGTGCACATACAACTTAAAGAATTACTATCTCTTCTGCTTTTACCCCACTGTCCTGGGTATTCCAGGTAACCCACTTTCTTCAGAATTTATCCAGGTAAGAAACAAGTATTGGTGTTCATAATTTTATACAAACCCGAAACTGCTGAGGACACACGAGAGAATCTCCTAAGAACTCTTTCACTCTATGATCCAGGGGCAGCTTATTGGGATTTCAGAAGTTCAGCAAATATATGGCATGTGGGGGATAAGCCAGTCAGTGTCTTCTCTCATAAGAGTATGGGTGAACTACATTCTTTCTAGGAAGAATGCCATAGTACTCTCAACAATCATAAATTCCATTACTTCAGTTAATTATTTTCAAATGTTTAGTTTTCTGTAGTAACACTAGTATAGGTATAATGGTCTCTAGATAGTATGTGCTCCCTTCTAGGAAGTCCAGCATCATATATGCATATGTGGAAAATCTCCCTTTGGTGTAAGGCTTTAGTAGAAATTCTGAGGCAACAAAAATATCCTATTTCCATACTGTTACACTTAAAAATAAGCATTCTTAATTTTAGACTTTTATCTCTATGACGGCAATGACTTCATTGATTTTGTTCATATGTACATACCTACTTATTAGCATAAAACCTAGGTCATAGTAGGCATTCACTAAAATGTTAGTTATGAAATTAATGAACAGTATTGAAAATACTTATAGTCAGGTGCTATTATCAGCATTATTTAATTGGTTATTCATTCTCCCATGTGTTTATCCCATTAATACTGATTGAATGCTTTCTCTGTGTATCCATTAAGCTAGGGATCAAAGAAACAAAACATAGTCCCTACCCTCAGAATTTGTAATCTGTTAGGCCAGAGAAAGACATTTGCAATGCTGATTATTTATAAACAATGGGGAATATAAGGACATACCAAGGAGGATGCCTAACATATTAAGTGGAGGAGGGTGCAATAGAGGGAGAACTGAAGGAGGGAGGGAAGAGATGAAGCAAGGGAAGGAGGGAGACCGAGAAGTCTTAAGAAAATGGCCTAAAGGAGAGATCCTGAGCTGAATCTATGCATCATATTAACTAGGTGAAGTAGGAGGAGGCAAAGGTCATTCCAGGCAATGAAGACCTTCTACTCTTAATATTTGGGCTACACTTATAATATTCTTCAGAAGACAATCTGGGCAGGTTTCCAGCATGATTCACAATTTTTTAACACATATCAAGTAAGAAACTTGTATTTACTGATTCCAAGTTAATTTCCTGCCTTCTTGCCAACCAGTGCCTTTTGTGCTTTTTGTTTTTTAGAAGTTCAATCCCTTTCCTAAATACAGAAAAATCAAATATCAACACAATATCTGTTGTTCCATAAGTACTTTCCAGTTTGAAGCTATAAAACTGGTTTCTAAACACACACCTCTTCCAACCTCCAAGAAGCAGGTCTGCTGGCAATATTCTAACTGTGCAGAGCATGAAACTCTTAGTGGCAGACTAAAGCTTGACTAGAAGGCTGTGAGATATTAGGCAGGCTTAATATTTAAACAAGGTTGAACAATTATTTTCCTTTACTTCATGTTTGTTACAACTGAATTATTTGCAGTTCCTCCTAAGTGTGTCTTGAGCTCTCATTTGTGACTACAGTCTGGAAACTGTAGAGGTGATAGAAAGCATTGGTAGGAGACAGCTGGGATGACCCAGGTGTGCAGGTGATTCTGAAAGATCCATAACTATCTCCTTGGACCAAGGATACAGAAGCATTGTCTTATCTGTTATTAACTGGGATGCCCTATTTTCTACATAAGGAAATTTCCCCTTACTTTTTAGCCATCTGGTCAACTGAGACCAGCTGGACCATTTAAAGCAGCTGCCAAACCCAAGACAAGCTTGGAATTTAAAACAAGAAAGCCCATAGTCCTGCCACATTTGGCCTTGCTTTACTCCCCATCAGAATTCTTCCAGTAGAGAATGCAACAAGAGAAACTATGAAAGCAGTAGGAACTAATACCTACAGGAGTTCTGAATAAGGATTTATTTGGATATCTCTTTTAGCTCTGAAACATAAAGCTGATTGCTCCTTCTATCAGGTACACCCCCAGCTAATTTAAATGACTTTCCTAGGTGGGTCAGACTGGTATTTCTAAAAGAGGTTGAAAACAATTATGTTTTGTACATGATTGGGATTTTATGAGGTTCTTGGATAAAAGATTGAAAAGGAAGAAAGCTGAGCTTTGACAAATTGATCTGTGGGTTGCTTACTTTAGCCAGATGTCTGCATATGTGGGAGACTTCATAAACTTTCCCTTCTGACATTTCCCAAGCCACAGCAAATTGAAGAATCATTGATATTGTGAGTATGGGATAAAAATATGCAAAGAGATGACGTGTGTTGAATTCTCTTGGGACAGAGCTAGCGCACCATTGGCACTTCAGTTTAAGAATGTTGTTGGCAGTCTTTGCAGGGAAGCTGACAGTGGGAGAAGTTACCCAGGCTGTGCTGCTTCTTCAATACCAGTAACGTTCATAAGTCTTTGGGGAATATCATTTTGAGACTCAGGATTATTTTGAAATCTTCCTCTTCCCATTTCACTAAAATGCATAATTCTGGCTCATACAGCTTAAATGGCTCTTTTGGGTAAACAGCACAAAGTTAGGACAAAGTGAACTACTTTGGAGCATGAAACCCAGTGTGAGGCACTGTATTACATGCTCAGAGTGTTGATAAGAAGTAGAACTTCCTTCTTTAATAAGATTGACATATACATTAAATAGGAAATTACAACTCAGTGCAGCAAGGGCAATAGGGTAGATTTTTCACAAAAGTGGCTACAGTAATTTCTCTCCCTCTATTCACACCCTTGGGCAATATGAGCCTCCACTGCTGATTGTAATCTTGGACATGTGAGTTGCTTTAGACAACAGGACAATGGCAAGTGTGCCATAAACAGAAACTTGAAAAACCCTTGCATATTGGAGCTAGCTCTCTCCTGCTGCTCCTGGGATCCTAGGATTACCACTCAGCAAATAAGGCCAGATTAGCCAAATTGAATGACAGACTCATGGCCCAGTTATTTAAGTCAACAAGGTGACATCCAGCTAACAATCAAACAGGTGAGACCATCATTCACCAATAGACCACGACACATAAGTGAGCCCTGCCATGATGCTGTGGAACACAGACAATTCATCCCATTGGAACCCAGCCCAAATAATAATAATAATTATTATTATTTCTATACTGGGGATTGAATTGAGGGACACTGAACCACCGAACCATGTCCCCAGCCCTATTTTGTATTTTATTTAAAGACAGGGACTTGCTTTTGTGGAGGCTGGCTTTGAACTCAGGATCCTCCCACTTGAGCCTCCCAAGTCACTGGGATTACAGGCATGTGCTACCATACCTAGCCCAGCCCAAATTATTGATCCACAGAATTGTGAACAAATAAATGGCTATTATTTTAAGCCACTAAATCTTTGGCTATTTTGTTACAAAGCAAAAGTTAATTGATACAAGAAGCGATAGAGCTGGATACAAAGGGTTATGGCTTCTTAAAGATGGATTCTTGATCTGGTGGTAGAACTTCCTGGAAGGAGGGACATGAGAAAGCAATATTTGAGTTAAATTTTCTTGAAAATAGATGTTTCTTTTCCCTTTAGAAAAAAATTCCCCAACACCATTGTGTTTTCAAGGAAATGGCCAATATTAAACTTCAGTTTTTATGGAACAAGTCTGAAATAATCTATACATTTATTCTGATGATATTCTTTCTCCCTAATTCTCAAACCTCTCTTAAAATTTCACCTCTTCCACTTGGCTTTCTCAAATACTTTGGAAAAAGTTCTTCATAGTTTTCCCTCAAGAAGCCACCATAGGCAATTATTGAATGTTTACCTCTCTTTATGAAACATCTGTCAAAGCCTAGGAAGCAGCAGAATGCTGTTGATAAGAACATGAGTCTGAGCACTCCCTAACAATTGGGTAGTCTTTCCCTTTTTGTACATGTCCTTACACTGAATATGTATCTTTCATTAGAGAGAATTATGTGCTTGTATATATGCATTGTGATACATTTATTTATCTAAAGGGCATTATGATTATGGATTAAAGTAAATATAACACAGTATGAAATATTAGTAAGCTCTCGGTTGATGTGTTAATTTTCTATGACTGTATAACAAGCTTTGCATCTTAAAACAACACTCATTTATTAGTTCACAGTTCTGTAGGTGAGAAGTCTGGCATTGCATGATTGGGCTGTCTGCTCAGAGTCCTATAAAGTTGAAACTACAGTGCCATCTTGATTGAGTTCTCTCCTGGAGTTTTTAGGACAAAAAAATATGCTTCCCAAATCATTCTTGTTGGACAAATGCAGGTTTTTCAGCTGTAGAGATGAGGCCCCAATTTTATTTCAGCTCTTAGCCAGGGACTGCCTTTAGTTCCTAGAGGCAACAAGATCTTTTATATGTGGTCCCTCAATCTTCAAGTCTGCAATAGTGCATTGAATTTTTCTATTTAGAATCTTTGACTTCCTCTATATCCAGATTTAAAGGGCTCATTAATTTGGCCAGGCCTCCCTAACAATTTCCATATTTTAAAGTCAACTGAATTTGGATCTTAATTATATCTGCAAAACCTCTTCATAGCAGTCACTAGATTGGTGTTTGTTTAAATAACTAGCTGGAGTGTGTATACCAGAGACTGGAAATATCAACGGGGTGTAGAAGATATAAAAATTCTGTCCTACCACATGTAATAACTATGACACTCTTTAGATGGTCCCCTGATTCAATTTTTCCATTTATATTGTATTTT